CCCGAAACGTCAGCCTCTCTGCTCCTATGATGCTGCTTGGCCTGCTGTGTTCATCCAGCCCTGCACCTTGTTGTCTCTGATAGTGAATAATGTCTACTCACCTGTAAATTTAAACTTCAAATTATTTTTTAAAAAGTACTACAAAGCATAGGATATGATCAAATGCTATAAACTCTTAATAGGACAAGCAGCATTTATGGAAAGAAAATGCATAAAATTTCAGGCATGGACAATTCCTCGGCTCTTGTCTATAAGAAGAGCATGTATTGAAATCTCGGTCTACTAAAATCAAGAGTGGCATTGTGTACCTGTTGACAAACTAAGTCATTTTCCAGCTCGCACCTTAACAAAAGAGAAAACATTGTGGAAGAAAAAGCATTTTAAAACCAATGAATGACTTATGAAGTAGTTATCTATTAAGATTTAAGGCAGATTTTCTGTTCACATTGTTTTTATGTGACATCTATGCATCAATAATGATCACTGCCTTCAAAAGGCTTTGTCTTGAACTTTTAATGTGCTCTGATTAAATATTTGATGGAATTAAACATCGTTACTCCATTTTTGGATAAACCCATAATGAGATTTATGGAACATTAATGAATTTGACAGCCAGAAATCAGCAATATAAAATGACCAGGTGAAGGTGAGTGAAGATACATTTTACCTTTTCTGCTTGGATGCTTTTCTACTTCAGTCACATCTGTTTACTTAAATTATTCAGTGATTTAATTAGATGAGGGTTTATGTGTTCAAATCTGCAGAGAACTGAAACTGTCTTTTTTTTTCTATTGCCTGTACCAAAAATGCCACAGTTATGTTCAGTAGCAATTCAGAATATTAGCGGATTTCTCAGTAAAAGAGTGAAGTTAGACATTTAACAATTGTCTTCTCAATGACTATCTCTGACAAGAGACAATCTAACCATCACCACTTTACATTCTACAGTATTACCATCAACTTAAATCTCCTGCTATCAACATTCTCAGGGTTACCATTGACCAGAAACTCTCAAAAGCCTGAAAGTCCCTTCTGAACAGTGCAGGGGGGCGTACCTACTTTCAGAATACTCCATCAGTTCAAAACAGCAGTTCATTATCACTTTCTCCAGAGCAACTAGGGATGGGAATTAATGCTGGCCCAGCCAGACACACTCATATCCATGAATAAGTAAGCCAAGAAAAATGTAATATTGCATTCTCTTGAGTAACACAAAAACAGATTTCATTTGCTGATCATTTTAATCAATCATGTTTTACTTTGACAACCGTCATGAGATGACATTCCTGTTATGAGATGACATTCCTGTTATGAGATGACAATCCCTTAATAACAACGCAATGTA